ATTGTTCCAGATTCTCTGAATCTTTTGATGATGTTATGCACGGTTGAAGAGCTGCTGCCTCTCGGCGAGTAGGTCCCTGGTTCAAACCCCGGTCCAGGGGCGTCCTGGGTGGAGTTTGCATGTTCTCTCCGTGCATGCGTGGGTTTTCTCCGGGTGCTCCGGTTTCCTCCCACAGACCAAAAACATGCATGTTAGGCTGATTGGTAACTCTAAATTGTCCCTAGGTGTGAGTGAGAGAGTGAATGGTTGTTTGTCTCGTTTGTCTCTATGTGTCCCTGTGATGGACTTGCGACCCGTCCAGGGTGTACCCCGCCCCTCGCACAGTGACTGCTGGACATGGGCACCAGCGACCCCCGTGACCCAAAATGGAATAAGCGGGTAAAGATAATGGATGGATGGATGCACGGTTGATGATGATAACAAAAGTCTTTGCTATTTTACGCTGGGTAACACCATTCGGGTATTGCTGCACTATCTTTCTGTGCAACAATGGTGGAATTGGTGATCCTCTTACCGTCTTGGCTTCTGAGAGACACTGACACTCTGAGAAGCTCTTTTTATACCCAGTCATGTTGTCAACTGACCTAATTAGTGTTAATTGGTCTTCCAGCTGTTCGTTATTTGCTCAATTTCCTTTTTCCAGACACTTATTGCTACTTGTCCCAACTTTTTTGGGATTTGTTGAGACTGAAATTTTGAATCACCATATTTTTCCTTTAAAATGTTACATTTACTCAGATTAAACTTTTGATCTGTCATCTATGTTATATTACGAATAAAATATTGACATTTGCCATCTCCACATCATTGCATTCAGTTTTTATTCACAATTGATTTAGTGTCCCAACTTTTTTGGAATCTGGTTTGTACAAACTGTCTTGAAACTTCAAAAACAACAATATATAGATTTGTCCTCATACAGGGCTAAATTAAAAATAAAACGACAACAACAGAGGTCTATTTCATAAAGTTAACAAGAGGTCCCCACAGTCTTTCAGAGCTGAGTTTTTAATTGTAGATGAGCCGATAATTGTTCCATTATGAATCCACTGATCAATGGTTGGTGGGTCGGGTTTCATCCAGTTAACTGGAGTGTTCCCTTTACCATTATACCATTATACAAGGAGGGCGCCCCGCCCTGTCAACAGAACTGAGCGCCCTGCCTACTGCACTGTAACCCCCCCCTACACACACACACACACACCCGACCAAAAGCTGCTGGCGACGATGTAGCGCTAAGTTAGCGGCACGCAGTACAGATAGCTAGCTAGAGGTAGTGCTCCGCCTCCCTTCGTTTGTTTCCTTCACCCGCCTCCCCCTCGTCGACAACTGTCAGCACAAACAGCGTGCAACACAGATGTTTCTGTCTCCACCTACCCCCACCCACATTGATAAAAATCACAGAAGAGATGAGCGCCCTGCCAAGGCAAGTGATCTAAATTCTCCCTGACCTTCAACCTCAAATTAGTACCTGATTGATTGGAGTTTTTGGGAAGTTGCAGCAAATATGAAATAGCTTGTCTTGTTTTTTATTAGTACTATTATTTTTTTGGTATTTTACTACAAGTTTTGTCAGACTTTTATTTTTATTAAACTCAGTTTTATTTCTTTTATCATATGTTTATCTACGATGTTGTAATTCTTGTGAAGCACTTTGGTCAGCTGTGGTTGCTTTTAAATGTAAATAAACTTTGAATTGAATTGAATTGAACTAGAGGAATCGCTGACCGTGATCATTTTTCTTGCCTTCATGAGGAGAGAGCTTTGATCGTGAGTGAGATGATGAAGGAAAACATCAGGTAAAAAGATGAGGGGGTCAGCAGGGATTTGTATCTTCAATAATTTAAAAAAGTTAAGTCAGGTCCTCTGGACATGTTCAAAAAACAAAAAAATTATAGAAACGTTTCGTCTTTCATCTGAAAGCCTTCTTCAGTCGTACTTTCAATAATAGTAATAATATCTTCAATAATCTTTCCAACACATCCCTGACACCTTTCCAGAAGCCCCGCACCCGAGGGTAATCCCAAAATACAGTATGTGGGTGTGATCACCCACAAGATCAAATGTTCATTATTGTCACTCCAAAAAAGTCTTAAATGGAGTTAAAAAAAAAACTCCTAATTTTGCATTTCCAATCAAGTCGTTTCCAGAGTTGGCTCCCGACTCCCCTGTGGCAACCAAAACAAATCTCCCAAGAGTCATCATCCAAAATTACATTTACCGGTAGTTCCATTTCTCATTGTTGCTCAGTCTGTTGAGTATTGTCTGTTTTTAAAATGTTTGATTGTTTTCATGATGGTTTGAACCACACCAACGAAGCTCTTGGTGTCAGGCCTCTTTCAGATGAAAGATGAAACGTTTCTCCCAAAAAAGAAACTGTCACATTATCCCGCAGCTAATTTGATTATTTTATTCACCCCAGAGTGTTTCAACCTTAACTAAGTAGAGTAAAAGTGAAACCAACGCTCACAACATGTTTTAGTACTTATGGTCCCGCCCCCTGCTCATGACAACATGGATTATTTGCTCTGGTCCTTGAGCAACTGATTTTTGGTGATGGATGGATAAATGATGCTAAACAAACTGGTTCTGGTTCTGCACTGGAGCAGGTTTGGTGGAAAAAACTTTGTATTGTTTAAATTGTCAAATGCGTGCATTGTATGTAAATAAATCAACAAAATGTGATTTTTGCATATTTTAACAGATTGCAGCTCCATGTACCTCGTTAATAAAACACAGTTTTCTCATTTTCTGTTCTTGTATCCTGCAGTGTGAAGTCGGTGGCCCAGGAGCAGAAGAACGAGGTCATGTCTCAACTCCAGACCATTCGTTACTTGATGAAGAAGAGAGGAATGGACTGTCCGCCCCTGAATGTCAAAGGTGGGCTGACGCTGTTGACTTCTGCGTGGTTTCTGTACAGGCAGAAGCACGGTGCTAATCACTGAAACTACGTACACGAATGTAATGTTACAAACACGTGAACTGTTATTTAAAGACATACAGCAGATTCTCCAAGTTTCAGTGAAGAAACGAATAAAAGGTGAAAGCGGTTTTATTGCAGCACGTTTTTACAACAAGAAGCTCCAGTAGCTGGACTAGAACAAACGGCACCGCAGATGAGGACAGTGTGCTGACAGTGAAACACGGAGGAGTCTCGGCTCTGCTCTGAGGCATCAGGCGCAGGGTGTCTTGATTCTGTGCAGGGTACAATGAAATCAAGGCTTTCTGGGGCCAAATGTGCTGCCCAGCAGGTCAGGGATCCTCCGACAGGATAGTGACCCAAACCACACAGCTGAAAAACAGCCAACAAAACACTATTATTCTGAAGTGGCCCTGATCCAAACCTTTTTGATGGTCTGTGGAAGAAGCTGACCCCTGCAGTCTGGAGAAGGACCCCTTAAAACCACAGACAGCCGGAGCCATTTGCTCACCATGCATGTGTGGGATTGCAAAGTTTCCTCAAAACAACCGGACTTCTTATTAAATTAAGGCTATCAGGGTTTTTTTTTTTTTTTTTTTTGTCAATAGTTTCATTCATTATTTTTATAATCTTGTTTAAAACTAAACTCAAAAGCGATGACTGGGTTTCATAATTTTTTTGTTGTTGTTGTTATTTTAGTGACTTTTGTGGGTTTGTCTTTCTTTAACAGAACAGTATTGTCCAAGTCTTTACTCCAGGTCATTGCAAGTGTTTATTTCTAGACACTTCATGGTGCCGGGACACCTCGAGGTGCAACCATGATGCATCCAGTCACCGCAGGTTTGAATGACGCCTGAGCAGCTACACTGTGAAGCAACTCTTTACATCTGCTTTACATCTGCTTTACAGTGCTGACTGTGGTTGAAGCTAGATTTGCAAAAACAAACAAAAAAATCAGAACATGACATTTGAGTCGTGCTTGGTTTTCATGGCTTTCATGGAATGGTCCAACACAAACTAACACGTAAACTATCCTAACAAGAACAGACTAATCACTAAAAGAACAATGCTAAACAGATAGCTGGAATGATTCACAATGAATCAGAGTTCATGCTCAATAATCCAGGTACAAAATCCAACAAAGTCAAGTCAGGTCCTCTGGACAGTTTCTTTTTGTTGAAACATTTCGTCTTTCATCCAAATAACTTCATCAGTCTGAGGAGCCACAACAACCTCAAACTCAAGAAACTTGGATTGGTCCTTTGGATAAAGGACAAAACATTTCAACAACAAAAAAGGAAACCGTCTAGAGGACCTGTATTAACAATGAACATAAATTTTACCCATAATCCCTCCCTGAGGCCATGTGACCAACAGTCATCCACGAGGAACCACAGAATGCTACAATATGTACCAGTAACATACACAAATACGTAGAGTAAATGTTTTTTTCTGAACAGTGCCTGTAACACATCTAGTTTAAAAAAAAGACAGTAGCCGACCTGGAAGTCATTGATCGATATCTTCTCCTAAGTTAGCGATCAATGACTTCTTCCTGTGCGAATTGTCCTCCTGGTCCGCAGAGCAAAAAATGCTCTGTGCATGCAGTGCATGGGATTCTCCCTACTCGCATGCTTTGCACATGCAAGAGAATCCCGCCTCACAGGGAGGGGGGATTCTCCCCCTCCTCGTTTTCTCCTCCTCGTTTCATTGGTTCGACTGTGACCTGTTCGGTCATTTCATTGGTCAGACTTTTTTAACCTTTATTTATACTGGTAGTCCCAATGAGTCACGAGGACCCCACCCCCCAAGAGAGATGTATATTGGCAGCTATGTAAGTGCCCGGATGAAACGAGGCTAAATGTTTTGGCAGCATGAAGCTCATTAGCCCGTCAAAAAACAAAACAAAAATACAAACAAACAGAAATTAGCCACACCAGTAAGCTGTAAGCTGATGAAGATTCTGTCATCCAGGACATGGTAAATTCAGAAAAGTTCAAGACAAAGTATAAGACCAGTATAGTCCAGTATTAATACATAAGTCCAGGTTTTTTTCTTCTTCTTTCGGCTGCTCCCTTCTTTAGGGGTCGCCACAGTGAACTAAGTCCCACGAAGTCTTGGCAGTTTTTGGGTTTTTTTTTACTCCGGATGCCCTTCATGACGCAACCACAGACCACCGAGCTACCACAGCCCTCTGTGTGGAGCAGAGAGCTGCTATCTAGGACACCCGGAGGAGCAGATGATGGGGGTTAAGGCCCTTGCTCAAGGGCTCAGAGTGGGACGAATGAGGGTGGGGGCAGATGTGGGGGCTTCACCTATCCCACCCACATTTTTGATGTTGTTGGTACCGGGGCTTGAACTGGCAATCTTCCCATCACAGGCCCACCTTCTCTAACCTCTGCGCCACCACTCCCCTCAATAATACATAAGTCCAATATAGTCCAGTATTAATACATAAGTCCAATA